TTGCACACAAGTTTTAATCAGGAATGCGCATAGGAAATATTAACCCAGTTTTGCCACAACATGCAGCATGCATAGAGCTGTCTCTAGTTAGGACAGCACCATTTTTAAACTGCATGTACAGAATTTGCAATAGATCCAGCATTCACAGAAGTGTTACTTCGTTGGTTGCAAAAGAAAGGAATACGTTCCAGAACAGGAATCTTGGATCAGACCCCCGGTAAAAAAAAAAAAAAACCAAACCAACAAACAGACAAAACACTGAGGCACCAAGTTATATCTGGAATGATGCTCGACTCTCCTTATCCACATGGTTTTTGTTGTGTCAGGTCCAAAACCAGGACCTGGCCTCTTCTCTGGTTACACTCCATCAGCTGTTTGTTCTTTTATAGATTCCAACATTCAAGATGGCAAATTCTAAACCCGATTCCTCATCTACATCTAGTGTGGGCCACAGGTTGCCTCTCTGACTTCTCTCTAGGTGCAATTGCACAAGGCCTCACTTGTCTGCATCTCGATTGTAATGCAGCGGTTTTACACTTTACTTTTATTCAACTCTTAGTTAAGGAGGGACTGACAAGATGGTCAAAGAGTTCACCGTCTCTCTCCAGCTTTCTTGAATACTTAACATTTGAACCCATTTCTCACCATTAGCACTGCTCACACAAGGGGTGTCTGCAGTTACCCATCCTTGCCCTAAACGAAGGATGAAATTAAAGTTCGTCTCTGTTTAAACATCAGTAGTACAGGTTTAGATCACCATATATTTAAAAAAAATATATTTATATAAATAGAAGTCTTGTAAAGAATAGACTTAAATGCTTCTATGCATAGGTTCATGCTACTGAATCATAGGTCTCAAAAAAGAAATATCTTAAATTGGGGAAAAAATAAGAATGCTCAACCAACTTAAAAATGCATGACATCACCACTGCTTCTCTCAGTATAGAAATATTAAAACTACATACATTTTATTATACAGCAAAACCCATCTTCAAGTTCAGTCATGTCGGGGGCGTGTGGGGGGAAGAATGACTTAAGGGATGGCCTTGCAGCAGCATTCAGCTTTGCTAAGTGTTCCATAGCATCTTAAATATTATGTACATTTTTTATTTTTTTTTTTTTTTCAGGGAAAAAAAGATGCAAACTGGTTTTAGAGTCTGTGGAATTGTAGCAGTAAAACTGAAAACAGTCCTAAGGAATGGTCTTTTGGCAGCATAGCAGGTGTCCAAAGTGAAGAGAGGCTAATTTTCTAGTATCTTCCAGAGAATAAAAAGGTTCCATATACACCTTTTTGCTATTAGCTGAGGAAGTCACCATTCCTCCTGATTGGAGATGGCTGGAGATTGGGGTCCCTGTGGTTCTGGCTTCTCAGTGGCTGACTTCTTATTGCTACAGCATGGTTTGAAGAGGTGAGTGTCTATAAGGACTTCTCCAAAGCGTCCTTTGTAAATAATTCCACAGCAGACTTTTTGCCTAGAGGAAGCGGGGGGAAAAAAGATAAAGTTCATGCACCCATACACACATGCATGCAGAAACAGGTACAGATATACAAAAAATTAATGTAACCAGGATGTCATAGTTTGCAATCTAGGGAGTGTGTCTACACATGCTTTTATACGTGCCTAAATTTAAATGTGCATTAAGGCAATTCAGGTGCATGTCTACACATGCACGCACTAAGGTGTATTAACATGGTGAACGGACCGACTTGTGCCAAGTCAGTTGACATATGCAGCAGGCGCTCTAGCTATTCACTTTAAGTGCAAAAAGCCTTAAAGAAAAAAAAAAAAATTCACTATTTAAGGCAGATTAAGAGTATGCACATATAAACCCATGCCCTTAATGTGCCTTAAAAACGGCTAATGCACCTCAAAATTGGCACGTGTAGACGCACCCAGATCTTAGTTTAGATCTTAGGCACCATACACATGCTTGACACTTGTGCCTATTTTCCATCTCTGCTGACCTTTCCTTAGGATATATATAGAAATTTTTGGTCATAAAAAAAATCACAAGAATAACAAAACCAACCCAGAAAGAAAAAACAGAAGCAGCAAACAGATCCCACACAACCCAAACAGGTCTGTGTCTAAATCCCCTGAACTGCTTTGAAAAAATTAAGTCTGAATATACATTTCCTACTTTGCTCCTTAAAGTTACATGAGCATAGACACGTGCTTTTTTACCGAGCTATTTTAAACACAGTGTACCTGGGAAGGCCATTTTAAAGGCAGTAAGTTGCATGCATTTGACAAACATACCAAACAAGAGGTCAGTACATTCACCACGTAGCAAAAGCAGGGAAAAAAAAGAATCCTAAACATCTAGGAAAACCCAACACTCCCCTATTTCAAATATTTTCTGACCATGGTCATGGATCAGTTATACAACTGATTTGTGTGGGTGTTGCTCATAGTTAGCTATACCCCCCTGGGACCTTTCAAAGTAACCCCATATGTACATGTAACCCTGGTTGACAACCCCTGATCTAGACATTTCATCTGACATTTAGCATGCAGAAGCCAAACTTAAAATAAAATAATTACAAACCCTCCAAGAAACAGCTAGATTGATGTTATTTCCTACTGTCAAAATGTCAATTATTTCAGACCAAATATCTTTAATACTTCGAGGAAAAAAGTCTTAAGAACACAGCATTTCTTTCAAGAGGATTTTCTTCCATGGGTCCAAATCCACACTTTCTGTACTACTGAATAAACTTATAAACTTAAGCCACAACCTTAAATGCTGTGTTCTTCAACAGCTGTCTATGAATGCTGTGGAAATTGCTAAGGAAGAAGTATAATGTGCCTTGTAATTAAGCTGAATTGCTGGGTGCACTAAATGTTTTTGTTGCCTTTTACCTTTTCCAGTAGGTGAGATCTAAAAAGGAGAAGACTGGTGTTCTGCTGGACCCTGGGCTCATCTCTGTGTCAGAGCCATCATCAGACTGGTTACTGTAACAGGGAGATTGCGCTGGAGAGGCACTTGAAGTGGTGCTGTGGGCATCAGAGTCTACGGGAGATGGCAGAACAAGGGGGTGGGGGCAGAGTAGTGTGCAATTTACTAGTTAGTCATCTCTACCACCAACAGGTCAGACATAACATAAGAAACAGGATTGAAGACACTTTTCTAGTACAAATAATGCTACCATCAACTAGCTAGGAAGAACACAAAAAACTGATCATTTCCGTTGACTCCTGGCATTTTCAATAAAATGCTGGAAGGTCATGCCAGCAATTTGGAAAGGTCCTATGGACAAGGATGGCCTTGTAGGCAAAGCATTGCACTGGCACTTCTGGGACCTATTCCTGTCCGTCACAGGCTTCCCCCACAACCACAGGCTCAAGGATCTGGTCCCACTGACATCCATGACAAAACTCCCAATGGCTTGCATCCTCCATACCTTAGCCCTGGAAGTCAGGGTATAACAGCCTCTCCCCACTCCCTTTACTGTATCAGTTTCGACTACGAGTCCATGAAGCCCCTCATCCTTGGGACTACTCACAGCACATGATGTTAGGCATCTATGGAAGTCTGTCCCAGTCAAGGCCTTGGACTCCTTGGGACAAAGCCAGTCTCTCCCCACTTCACTATGTGCACAGCCAGCATCTAAACTTTGCTGTTTTGTTCATGCTAATTTATACTTGCATACACTACTGTCTGTTCCAAAGGCACAATATGAACAACAGTAAAACCCAGAGATCTTTGGAAATTGTTCTTCATGTGTGCCCTTCAAGTCAGGTAATAACAAAAACAGATAAGGGAATAAGACAACAGTAGTTACATGGCTGGAGTACTCTACCGCTAAGGAAAGAGCTAAACTGATTTTAAAATAACACCTAATTGATTGCATTGGACATTATCTAGATTAGGCCAATTAACTGTAAGCTGCTTTGACAATGAAGTTGCGTTCCTAGTATTTCTCAACTTACTGTGCCGTTTGAATTCCTTTTGCAGTTTGCTGATTTGATTGCTCTTCATTCTGCTTCCAGAGAGAGTTTTCATTTTCTTTGGTTTCAGTGTCGTTTTAAGACTGGGTCCAGCCCTTGCATCCACCACCTGAAAGGCAACATGGCTGTATTCAATTATTTCTACTCTTAGTTCCTTATCAGAGCTCAAGCATGGTTTATGCAAGAAAAGTTGCATTAGTTTAGCAACAGGTATTACTTTAAACCCATTTAGTTAAACTGACAACTGTGTGCTGACACTTTTCTAGTCATTTAAAAACTTAGCTTGGAACTAGACTATTCTATAGAAGAAAGTAAAATGGGCTTAAGATGCCTTCAGGTGAACTAGTGCAACTTTGTGTTGACAAATATTCAGCTTGGTTTGCAGCTGTAATTCAAGTCAACACAAATCAAACTAAAGAGTGTTCACACAGTTTCTGCCTTGTTTGTTTTAAAACTGGTTTGAGCTAACTGTTGGATGGGTAAGCCCCAAATAGTGGCAGTATGCTTCGCTCCCATGATACTGTCAAAGCCCTCATAGAAAGAGGGACAGCAGGAGGAAGTTCTCTCCCCAACTCTAGACCCAAAACAGATTGCTATATCCAGTCAGAATGTGCAAGAGGGTGTGATGGTGAGAGATTAGTCATTTTAATTATCTGACCAAGCCAAGCTGATTTATAATGTTGCTTAAGCAAGTCGCCTGGCTTGTTCAAGCATTAAAAAAATAAAACGAACCTTCACAGCCAAATTACCATCTTTGGACTGAGGCCACATCTGGAACATTTTAATCTCAAAGGAAGACTTTTGGAGAAACAACAGCTTGTGAAAATTAGGGTGTTTCAGCAATGATATCCTGTACATGAACCAGGTGAAGGCAGGGAATAGCTATATAATAGTCAGTTTTAAGTAGCTTTTACAGATGCTGAGCATGAAAGAAAAGTCACTTAGCAGTGCTGTTTCTAGATGAATAGCGACTGAGGGAGGTAACTATCAAATCATAGGGGGTGAAGAAATAAAATAGCTGACTAACATGATTCCAGTTTTTTTTGGATCCTGCTGGCAGTTTTTTCCATCTTTTCACCAAAAGAACACATGCATTGCAGATGTCTCCTGACCGGACCTCATGGAGCCTATCAAGAAAAACAAAACAGAACAAAACCCTTGCTTACTGGTTAGCCTCTTAAAGTCAAAACAATTGGCATAAAGGCAGGGGGTGGGGAATAGATTCTCAAACCAAGACTTTCAGAAGTGATTAGCAATTTTACATGCTCAACTTGATGAATCCCAAAAGGGATTCAATGCTCATCTAATATCCATATATTCAATTGGAATAGGGCCTTTTTAAAAAGGTGCCTCAGGCTGGGAGCCAATATATAAATTAACCATTTGACTCTTTCAAGCAACTTTGGTATTAAAGACAAGCGATAACCCTCTGTAGGATCAATTTTTATTCAATTCCAAGATAACATTTTTCCTCCCTCCCTCTCAACATTGTGGGTTGGGGTTTTTTTTCTTCCACCAAGCCTCATCTCAGAATCAAGTATTTAGTGAAAATGCAGTCAGAAGAGGCAGCAGAAATCCACTCAAAGGCATGGGGAGGTGTGGGAAGTCTTTGCTTTTGAGAGGCTTGTTAATACCAAAGATTTATAGCAGATAGAGCTATAAAGTTTGTTAAAATTCTATAAATTCTGAAAAGGACCCTGAAACACTGTAAATTTGACTGACATGCCTGGATAGGACAAGCCAGTTTTTGTTCAATGTTAAGTTACAGGTCCTAGGTTGCTAAAACATACTTCAGACAACCCCAAAACAAAAGCATAGATATATTGTTTTGACACTGCAGCTTAATTAAATGCAGCGGGTCACCAGAAAGTCTGTTTTTAGCCAAGGTCAGACTTCCAGTGCCAGATTCACACACAGAGGTCATGATCAAGAGAAATAATTGTAAAGACCAAGAACATTTCTATTAAAAAAAAACCCAAAACACAAACAAAAAAAAACCCAGGAAAAAGAAACACGGCAAAGTAAGGGCCTAATCTTGCTGATGCTCTCTGTGGGTGGCACCCATGTAGCCAATGATACTGCTCACATGTCAAAAACCACAGGCAGAAGCATGTTTAAGGGTATAAACGCTCACAGTAACTGAACAAACTGGTGGGAACAGAAGAAAAAAAAAGGATCAGAGACAATGACAACATGGACATTTTTGCACAGTAAATGCTGCAATGGATAAACTTTTACAGCTATGAGAGTCCTACTGCTATGGCCAATTACAAACTATGTGCATTAAAAGAAATAATTACAAGCTGTCAAGTAGGAACTGGATGCCTTGACAACTTGATGAAGATAGAAAAATTCAAGGTTATTGTAAGACCATTTCAGAGTGCCAAAGCTACGTGGTCAAACCAGCTTTAAATAAGCATTTTTAAGTTGTGCAACTTAATTTATTAGGACTTTGAAATGTCCACATGTCTAATGCTTTCTAACGGGAAAAAAAACAAACCACACAATTTTTTTCCCCCCCCAGGCTCTTTTCACATCACACTTCTGCTGTGAAAGTTTACCTTTACAATGGGAGCCCCTATTCTAAACTGAAAGACATCACTCCTTTGAGCTAAGAAAGTGACTTACAAAAATTTTTCTGGAGTTTTAAATGACACCCTGGAAGATTTTATTTAACCAAAGTCACAAAAGCCTCCACAGCTCTATTGTACTGTGCTGCACTACACATGCACCTTCTGATGTGTTGGCTCTTTGCACAGGTCTAAACAAACACAAAGGACGTATCCCCACAAGCGTGCAAGTCCAGGGGTGCGCATTTCCTATGGGACAAATAGTGACATATTTATGCTGCTGCTATTAGTCTTTGGGCATGCCCCTGCATGTGCACTCTGGCGCATGGCAAGGTGACCCTGGGGGGGTAGGGGAGGCTGGGGTCTGCACCTGTGCTGGCCCCAGGGCCTTACCCAGGGTGCTGGGGGCCTCCTGAGGCAGCAGCAGTGCCAAGCCGGCTGCTTGGAGCTTGGCCAGCAGCCAAAGCAGGATGCCTCTCTGGTGGTATATGCTGCTGCCACATGTGCCAGGCTGCTTTTTACAGTGGTGCCTTTTTTTTGTTGACACCAGGATCTTCCAATGTCAAAAAAACTGGTGCACTGCAAGTTAACAGTATGGTGAATGGGTGCAGGTGTGCTTTGCAGTGCCTTAAACTGCTTTGAGGTTCCACAAACCACGTGTGCACACTCCTAGACACACCCACAATGTCCAAGCCAGTGGAACAACACGGGCCAGGTCCTTCACCAGTATGAGTCAGCAGTACACTCCTGAAGTCACTGGAGCTGCGCTATAGCCCCATGCTGTTTGCGTAAGCTGTGGAGGTCAAAGCTGGCTCTATACCCAACTCCGATTGTTGCCTTTAGTACTGCACTTTGAGAGAAACTTAACTTTTCAAGTTTGCTGCTTAAAGACAGAAGTGAGAACCAATAGAAATGACAATACACATTTGCCTGGCAGAGGATCTTACCCAAAGCAGTTCTGGAAATCCTTTTCATAACGTTTACTGTCAGTGAAACGAGAACTGGAAGACTTAGCCCTGCAAATACAGCAGCCCTCTATACTTCGGTACATCTTCGGTTTGTGAAAACCAAACATCCTTCTTTCTTTGCTGTTGTCTGTGGAACAAAGAACTACCATCACTTAATCTCTTCAAGTCATATCTTGGGGATTAAAATGGAAGAAACAGCCTCATGGCTAACTGGGTAAAAGTTATATATAGGTTAACTCAGGAGGGGGAATACCCGTATGAAACGTCTCTCTTTAAGACATTCTTGCTATCCCACATGATCTTTAAAACAGTGGCTCTCAATCTTCTTAGAGTTAAGGCATCCCTTGGAAAATGCCAGCTCTTAGCTTTCACTTTTTTTGACTATGGCAAAATACTAAAGCAAAGAACTCCACAAGACCACTGCAGATCAGAATGCTTTTTACATAGGAATGTAGTGTTAAATCTCTATGTTTATCTTGTCAATCATGTCTGCACACCTAACAGCGCTAACAGTAATTTAAAAGGGCAGGTACTTAAAGCACGCTTATTTTTAAATGAGCACAAAATAGCTGATGTCTGCTGTGTCCCAAATCTGAGTGCCTCAAGCCAATCTAACTGGGCATATGACCAGGTCTCCCAGAATATAGGTCTACATGGAAGGTATGCCTACACTGCAGTCCATGGGTCCAAATGCAGCTTGCACAGACATCCCTGAGCTAGCTTTAACTAGTTCACCCAGCTGATGGCAGCAACATACTAGGGGGGGCACCCCAGAATTGCAGTGCGGAGTATACAAGCCTACCTAGGTTCCTGGGTAACTATGAAGTACTGAAGCATGTGCCACAGAAGTTATTCTGCCACTTGTCCCCAAACTGGCTAGGTAAATACTAGCACAGATGTGTTTATATGAGCTAGTCACAGCACCAGACTGCAGTAGCCTAAAAAACTGCACTGCAAGTGGCCTGCTAGAGTTCTTTATTAGACTCTTAGGGACTCCATGTCAAGTGGATTCATTTTCCAGGTAGAAAGGTTCATTCTAGTTGCCAGCTCCACAAGCTCCATCTACACTCTGAAGGTCAAGCAGTATTCCTTGTGGCTTCCGTATTGTTACCAGCAATCCTGACCCAACGGAGGTGTATCGTATGAGTACAAGCAATGTGCCGTGGAAGCTTCTGTTGGCTTCCAGTTAGAAAAAAAAAAAAGAGAGCTAATTAAGCTAAATTTTGGAATCAGTAATCCACAAATAAAGAGTGGCCTTAAGATGCCATTGCTCCCCTCCCCCCACAAGCTCCAAACTCCTATCACCTGTGGAACTGCATTTAAGCCCCAATTTTAGAAAAATACTTAAGAACGTATTGAAAATACTTCAAGCACTTGAGTACAACTGTTCAAGAGCTCAGTCACATGTGTATTACCACCAGCCAGCTCAGGGCCTTAACCAAGAACAAGTTTTTACAGGCCATGCAAAACATGTTAGCTAGTTATGATGTAAACACATTGAGGTGCTATTCCAAGAGTTTTCTTTTAAAAAACAGAAAAAAAAAAAGTGTTGCAACTTTTACTTATATGATCCTATCTAACAAAGAGAGCTGCCTCTATTTCCTATGAATGCCAAGAACAGACTAATTGTACAGAGAATGGAGAAACCAAATTTGGTGCTAGAAGCTCTGTACAAGCATGCTCTCTGCCACAACAAACAACAGCTACTAGCACCAGGGAAAAGTAAAGGGATGGAAATAAGACCAAGCAATTACATTATCAGAGAATCCATCAAAACCAGAAGACATTTTGGGGGACTACGAAGCAAAGTGGTGATGATAAAGAGATGAAACTTATTCCGTTTTATATAGTCAGCAAGTGAAACATGCTCTTATGTTTGTCCAATAAAATAGAGTGGAAAAGAGGAACTAAGGGTCCCGTTCTACAAGTGTTTACTGCTTGGCTTAGTGCTAAACAGTGGGTGAAAGTTGCTCCCGAGCAGAAGGCTGGTTCTAACAGACTGGAGCATTGCAGAAGCACTTCCCAGAAAGCAAGCGACCCTTCACAGCAAAGTGCCAACCCTCTACATGAAGGGTGAGGGTCACTCTACCACGAGCTGTTCCAGCACCACAAACTCCTGTGCATATTTTTCGTGGCTCTGAAGAACACTACAGGGCAGAAGTTGAGCAGCTCTGCAATGCTCCCAGACTCTAATGGAGAGAATAGAGATCTGGGAGTCTTGCACAAAAAAAAAAAAAAAATCCATGTTAACACCTTCACACTAAACCCATCTAGACCAGTGGTCAGCAACATGGTGGCAGCAGGCTGGAATGGCCCAACTCAGGTCCAATGCAGCTACCACTGCTTGGCCCCATCCCCACCATGGGAAAAGCACCTAGCGGTGGTTTGGCAAGAGCCCCCCACTGCCGAATACCACAGAAGCCTCAGCAATACAAGACATTCAGCAGCACACAGGCCGTATATTGCCAGCCCCTGATCTAGAAAGACAGATGGTAGATCAAAAGCCTACGATTTTGGTGTACTTTAATAAACTGCTTGTTATCATCATCACACTACCTTCAGTAATACCCGAAGGCCCCAATCAGGCTTAATTCTCCACTGTGCTAGGTACTGTACAGAGAGGAAGATAGTCTATGCTCCAAAGAGCTAGAACTGACAAACAACAATACTTCCCTGATTTCACCAGCTGCAATGAAGACTTTTCCCAAACAAAATTGCAAGGGGAGGGGAAAAACCCCTAAGCATCATTTTCAACAGAATCAAAACTTTCCTTTCCGTTAGAGACATTCCACAGCCTCCAACAGAAACACACAAATAGGTTTTAGACAGCACGTCTTCCTTCCTGAATCTGTAAGACAGGCAGCCTGAAACTGCCAGCCTATTCCTCTTCACAGCCCAAGCAGCCAGGCTGAATGCTGGACTTCTTCCAGGCATAGGAAAAGGGACGTCTCTCCTGCCCTTCCTTCCCAGTCCAGGCTACAGTCTGGCCAGTATTCTGGTCTCATGGTTGGACTAGGCTTTGAGGCACTTGCACCCTTCCTGTGGAGGAAGAATTTCAGTTGCAGATCCACCAAACCCATCCTCAAATCCCAGTGTGCTTGTATGGCACAGAGCTCCTATGGTGCTACACTTTGCAATAGGAGACAATGCACATTCCAGCAGATGCTCACCCAAACCTCTCTCCACCTCCACCCCTTCCCCATGAGCCACACTGGTGCTCTGCAAGAGGATGTGCAGGAGAGGCAGTTAAGGGAAGTGTAGCTCATCAAAACTACTTCTCTGTTCTTCCACAAATAACTTTCTGGTAATATTTAGCTAGTGGTAGGACTGGATAATTTCTGGCAAACATGAGAGGAAAGTCTGGTTATTCTGAATCAGAGTGGGAAACCAGATAGGGTAGAGGTACAAAAAGTGTCAAGATCTCTTCTCACCCCATTGCCCTCTCACGACAAGGTAGAGACAGTGAACACTATATACAGCCAAGTCAGGTTAACATCTCTTTTTATCCTAGGGTACAAGCTGGTGTGGAAGGGTAGAGACTCCTGCCACTGGGGACAGGATGGGGGCTGGGGTTTATAAGAAGCCTTGCAGGATATCTGTTTTAATTTGTTAGTGTACAATATGACCCTTCAACAAGACTCCTGAGAGTACTGTATTTAACAAGTCTTTTGAGACTGTCAGTGCATTCACTTGGGAGATTGTAACTAACTGACAATTTTTAGATTTTGTTTATGGCAACCCAATATTAAGCCTTCAGTTTGGTGTTTTACTTTAGAAAGCATGGTACTTGCTGCTGACAGCTTCACCAGTGGTAGAAAAGAAACAACACCTGCCTTTACCTCTATAGAAGAGGCCAGTGCACAGACCTGGAAAGGGTGTTCACATATGAACGTTTCTAACCTGGGTTCTCAAGGAGAGGAGCCACAGGGGGACACCATAATCAGTCATTTCAACAATGTTTGGGCATTCTGCACTGGTTTCTCACTCTCATTCTTCCAGGAGCCACTTTTCAACACAAAGCTTCCAAGAGAAGGAAAAACTAGAAGCATCTGTTTCTCATTTGATGAATGGTCAGTGACAGCATACATCATTCCTGAATGGATAAGAATTACTGGAGAAAACACCAGCAAAACAGATCACTCTGACAAGTGTCAAACAGCAGTGTTATAGATGGAAGGCGTCAGTACAGCCACACATTTAACCCCAATCAGTTGCCATTTGACCATTATACACTAAACAGACTGTCAGCTGATGAGTTTAATAGCCAAAAGAGATCACGCTTAAGCTTAGGAGCACTTCCAAATACTGCTGTCACACAGTTCTGTCTGCATGCCTGTTCAAAACCATAATTACGTGCCTTGTCCTTGAGTCACTGCTAACATCAAATCGGAGTTCAGCATGCTTGAAAGGACTGGTTTAAAGTTTTGCAACTTCAGAAGCCAACAAAAGTAGCAGCAGGGTTGGAGAAGGGTTAACTCTTAATCCATTTAAATGGATATCTATTGGGACAGATGCACAGCAGGTGAAAACGGGTGTAGCACTCCTGAAGTTAAAGGAGCTATGCCAGCTTTCAGCAGTTGAGGCCAAGTGTAAATCTACTTTCAATTCTTGTTTAGCAAGAACTCTGACACTCCAAAACTCAGCATCTGTCAGACTGGGAAAGGGTGGAGGGGAAAATGACACAGAAGCAGCAAAGCCTTTTTAGAACGTTAGCGTCATCTGAAGTACTAGCAGGAAGCAGTGCCTCTTCAGAAGATGTGGGGTCAGGCAGTGAGCAATGGCAGGGTGGGAAGGGCTGCGCACAATACAGCATGCATCAACTCTGCTCGAGAGCAATTTCCTCCTTCAGTTTACCTGTCAGGACTAGAATCTGGGATTCAACAGTTCCATCTGCAAAACCTGATGCTAACACTAACAACTAAAGCAGAAGAGCCAATGCACAAAAACCACTCTGCTTCAGATGTTTGTGACGTTATAAACTAGCAGAAAGAGATCCCGATTCCTGATGTTTAGGCTTTACAACAAACAAAGGAGCTAACAATTTTCAGGGTTGGTTTATTTAAAAAAATAAAACAGGAAAGGTCAGCAATTTTCCTTTCCAGCTTCCTCCTGCAGTCATTGCAGCAATAGAAGTCGAAGGGAAACCTTTGTAACAAAAAGAAAGGAATTTGTAGATAACAGACAAACAATCCCATTTCACATACTGCTTTGTAAACCAATCAAAAGAAAGCACCCCCCCACCCTTGTGGATACTAAAGAGAGCCATTCCCTGGGTACTTTACAAAGAAAGCAGCTTATCAGAGAAGCAAAGGGATGGCATTCCAGGCACTCAACACCTGCTCTCTTCCTACTCCAGTCCTGGGCTCATTCAGGCTTTGCCCAGCCCAAATCCTCCAATAGTTGGCAGAGAGAAAGAGTAAAGAGAAACCCTGCTATTAACTTGATTTCTTCCTTTCAGTACAAAGACAATGCCTCCACCTAGACAATTGCCTCCTCCCAATCTTTGCCTGCTGTAAATTAGCATGACACCTCTAAATTCTGTAGTTGAGATGATTCAAAACTGAGAATCTGACCCATGTCCGTCAGCAGAAAACCCAAAACGTTGATTCTACAGCACTTAGATGCAGATAAAAATTATATCCGAGTGAAAGAACTTCTTTAGATAGGAAGGCCTTGAACTAAAGAAACAAAGCTCTGGAATGCACACCTGCACACTAGAACAATGACTTCTTCCAAGCCAGCCCATCGTGCCAGGAGCCAAGTTGCCCATCTAACTAGTTAATGTTTGGGCTTGCCCCTTAGCCATGAAAAATTGACATTGCTCTATTGAATGCAGTGGAGATGCACAGAGACTCATACCAACTAAAAGATCTGGCCTTTGAGTCTTTGATAAAGAAATCTCACACAAGTAATCTCCCCCTCTCCCTCCAAAACCCTCAGTATGGTGTGTAAAATTAAACTAGACCCCACACAATTGCACTTGATATGAGCTGAGAAGTTGTCCAAAGCCAAAATGGTACAAGGAAAAAGAAACAGTAGCACCCACTAGAAAAGCTAGTGTAATTTTCACATAAGGAGGGAGACTGTATAAAAAGGTTTAACTCAAAAAAAGCAGGGATTGGTCTCTAAAAAAGCATAACTTTGGAACTCTGTAAATTCTTCTAACGGCCGTAACCTAAATCTCTCTCTCACACTACCCCCAAAATCCTGCATCAGTGAGAAGCCCAAGAAATGTTTCACATGTATTATGCTTCCAAGATAGTTTGTGGCCCTTCAGAGAAACATCACCCCATCAAATGTTGTACTTCGTAGTCAGTTGGAACCATAGAAAATGAGACTTGGAAGGGACCTCAGGATGTCATTTAGTCCAACGCCTGCCTAAACTACATCACCCCAGCCAAGGCTTTGTCTAGCCAGTTCTTAAAAGCCTGGAGGCAAAGATGAAGATTCCACAAGCTCTCTGGGTTACCTGTTCTAGTGTTTTACTACCCTCCTAATGGGAAAGTTCTTCTTAATATCCAGCCTGAACTTCCCTCACTGCAACTTGAGACCATTGCTCCTTTTTCTGTTATCAGCCACCACTGAGAACAGTCTAGCGCCATCCTCTTTGGAACCTCCTTCAGGTAGTTGAAGGCTGCAATTAAATCCCTCCTTAGTCTCCTCTTCTCCAGACTAAGTAAACCCAGTTCCCCCAGCATCGCCCCATAGGTCATGTGCCAGAGCCCCTTAGCCATTTTTGCTGCCCTCTGGTGCACTCTCCCCCATGTATCCACATCCTTTCTGAAGTGGGGGACCCAAAACTGGACACAGTACTCCACATGCAGCTTCACTAATGGTGTAGAGGGGAATAAACCACTTCCCAGGATCATTGGCAGGAATGTTTACCAGCAGAAGCCCAGTGTGCTGTTAGCCTTCTTCACAAGGGCACACTGTTGGCTTGTATACAAGCTTACTGTAACCTCCAGGTCGTGGTCTGCAGTGTTATGCCAAGACAAAACAAATTATGGAACAGTTCAGCTGTAACTTCAGGAATATTTTCTCCTCCAAGAACATGTACACTAATCCTTTTGCTGCTGTGGCTTATGTTTCACTGATGAAAACTTACAACGTAGCAACTACAACTGGCAGCAACCACAGGTCTGCAGTTAGTGAGAAAAAAAAAACAAAAAACAAAAAAAACCCACAAAACAAAAACCCAACATTTTTCTGCCCCCCTTCTTGCTGTGGCTGAGTTGCTGTAGCATTTTGGACTGCATCTATGACTACTGTGGGCAAAGTTTTCAGAAGTACCCAAATTATTTAGGAGCTTATGGCCCACTTTATTTCCAGTATGGCACAAGTACTTATACTACCTGGGCACTTAAAAATGGGATTAATGCGTATTTAGGAGCTTGTCAATTGGGCACCTTTGTAAAAAGGTTAAGCTATAAAGTATTCTGAAATGAATAGCTAGGCATGAGAACTCTAAACAACAACATTTAGGACAAGGAAAAAATATACATATATATGTAAAAAAAGTATGACTCAGCTGCACCCATTCACATCTGACCTATGGCTTTATTAGCTACCACAACCAGAGTTCAGTCCCAACAAAACTGCAGATTTACAAGAAAATCCTAAGGTGCTGTGCAAGTACGGCTGATGAGCTAACAGGCAACACTTGTGTGAATCAGCAGCAAGCCAGCAGAGCAACTGAATTTTTAAAGCCATCTAATTTGAGGTGCAGGCTTGCACATAATAAGTCAAAATAAATAAAAATAAAATTAAATTAAAAGAACCCAACATGATGGGCATTTGTGGTCCTTACAGATTCAACAGCTCTTTTTGCAGGAGAAAGAGATATGAAAGCAGACTGCAACTCAACAGCAGCATTGAATGAGTGAAGATATTTGTTTTGGTAAAAAAGTATGAAACCCTTTGGTCCAGAGACAGACAAGGTTCCTTGGGTGAATTTGATATCTTTTATTAGACCAACCCAAATAGTCCAGAGATGCATTTGCATTGTAACAGAGTACTCTTATTCATTATTTCATTTTCACTTTAAACAATCAGGGCATATGCCAAAGCATGACCTGGAAATCCACTACGCAGAAGGACTGTTACGAAATGGAGTTCCACCTTCCTGTTCCGACTATACACAGACCTTTCAAAGCCATGTTTCCAACCATACAGTCTACTTCTTCCGATACCTGCTGTTAGCTAGTGGTGAGCAAGTGTAACCACTAACATTTGCTTCAGAAACTGTCACATGCACAATCACGCTCCTTTTATCTTAGTTAAAGGGAAGTCAGTCAAAGAGTTGATTAAAAAACTGATTACAACGCAAGCAGGGATCCATGACCTTATCTACCTGCTAACAGGTGAATGAGATATGCATCATGAACTCAACTGTCCTTGTTTTAAGGCTAATAAGTTGTTTGTTGTTTATTGTAGCTTACATGACTTTATTAGCTACAAATTTACACACGTTTTTTCTACTAAATTAAAAAAAAAAAAAAAAAAAAATATGTCTCTTTACTTTTAGCAGGCACCAGGTGCTCACACAGGTCATACATCAACCAACCCTTTTTGTAAGGCTTTCAATAGCCTCTGATGGACTTTGAAAAGCAATGGGACTTGAGTACTAAAGGAAATTGAACACCTGGCACCCGTGGGTGGTGCTGAAATTTTTACTAGCTGTCATACAAGTGAACCTGAACCTGCACCACTGACTTCAAAAGAAGTTTACTATCAGCTATAAATCAAACAGAAGGCAGGGCAGGGTGGCACCTTACAAACTACTACTCAACTCTAGAAGGTGTTACCCTGCCCTGTCTTCTGCCCAACTGCAGGGTAACACTATGAATCGGAGGAAGACTGGAACCCAGGAATAAGGAAAGAGTATCTGCTCAATGCCCACTCAAGTCAGTGGAAAGATTACAGTCTGCTTTGAGGAGCTTTGGATCAGGCCCGATTCTACCAGATGCAAATCACTCAGAAACTGTAAGTATGTGCCCACTGTATGCTGGACCTCAATCCATTTGGTAGGATGACTGTCAAAACCTGGAAGTCAGTCATTCACAACAGATCTAGCCATGTACTACTGATTTAGAGAGAGCCACAGTGGGCTTCTGTAGATGGGCCATTTATAGTCTCACCTGTAGGAGGGAGTGCTCAGGAACCGAGCTGTTTGCAGAAGCGTTGCCACCCTCGTGCTGTGCCTGGTCTATGGAAAAACAGAAGTCTCCAAAAGCTCCCAACCTGTCACAAGCAATAAGAGAAAACAAAGCAAACAGAATAGGTTCAAGTACATTATTGATTCCATATATGAATGCTAACCTGTTTCAACAACATCTGGCCCTACACTCTCTTGGAAATTTGGTCCCACAACAGTAAGTATCCTCATCCTTTCTATTTATCATACGTATACCTAGATGCTATTAGAAATAAGCCACATCTGCAATCAGAGCATGCCACTTATAGTGCCCATCTAAAATACACATACCTCCCTCATGAAAATACAAACAAGTACATAATAAAAGCTTCCAGTCTTTTAGATTTCTGCCAGTTTTAAAATGCTAAAAACAATTAGATCAAGTCAGAGGCCATGTAATTAGTCAACTTTGCTAAACAAGCAGGACTAGGAAATTCTTTTTGCAATTATCATCATCAAATAATCTTGACCCAAGGACTGGCAATTCTTAGAGGAAAAGCTGATGGGGGAATATCTATGGGGCAACCATAGGATATTTCACCCCACAGGTGTGGCAGAGTCAGGGGGAGCTTTTGATACAAGGAAAACAGGATCTTGCCACTGCTTTGTCCAGGTATTTCCTGGTCTGGGCTGAAAGAGGCAGCCTAGCAAACAAGTAAACAAGACAACCCACAGTAGCTTCCCCTTATATCTTTTTAGTAACATATCTGCAGATGAGCATAGGAAAGGAAACAGAAATTAAGTCCAGATGAAATGGAAACTTAAACAACTAGAAGTGTTTCTCCTTACTCAAAATAAGGTTGTTTTCTTAAAATAAATAAATAAAAATGTACACACATTTCTCCCCCCCACCCCATGGATGGTAAGCTGCTTCAAGAAAAATCTGGCTCTTTTGGAATTTATATATAACAAACCAGTTTATGGCAAAAACAAGAACTCTTAAGCTCTGTTTCAGCTTGCAAATTCCCATTTGAAACAAAGCTCAAAGGACAAGTATTTGTAATAGCATAATAATGCCAAGTGAGGTAGGAAAAAAAAAAAAAAGAAAGAAAAAGTTCTAAAACTACACGCTCTCTAAATCTCTCGCAGTAAAGAGAAGAAGCCCCTAAACTGCTCATACTTTGCCATTTTTCTACCAAGGTGCTTTGTGTAGCTACCGGATACTGCTAAATGCCCCCCTGAAAAAGGACTTAAACCCTCCCAAAAGACTCCAAAACCCCTCCAAACAACAACAAGTGGGTCAGGCCCCAAATCCCAGCCCCCTGAAGTCAAACCCAATAAGTCCTGGGAATTCAACAGGGCCAGGGCTGGGATTCCCGGGCAGATTTCCAGCGTGCAGCATGCCCAGGGACTAGCGACAAAAAAGGAACACCCAAGAGGCCAAGCTCCATTCTCAAGCTGCGCCCATGACGCCAAGGAACAAAAAGTTAGGGTAAAAAGAAAAAAAGTTAGGGTAGGAGCAATGGTGTGGGAGGGAAATATAGGGGAGAAGGGCATTCCCCACCAGAGCGCAGCGCAGCCTGGAACAAAGACCACCCACCCCCCAGCCACCCCGGCAAGGACGACCTACTTTTCACAGAGGCCATGATGATCAGGTAGACAACAAGGCTCGGGGTCACCCGCAGCCACTCTGGGCACCTCGAGCCTCTCCGCAGTGCACAAAACCAGCTGGGCTAAGGCACGGTGCAGCCAGAAACAACCCCTACCTCCCCCCAACCACCCTCCCACAGCCCCTGCCACGAG